GCAGTACTTTGTTAAAAGTTCTGCTGTAGGGAAAGAATATTTTCCAACGGCACCCTCCGAGCTGGACCCACAAGTACATATTTAGCTGCTGGAAGGTACACAGTTTTCAACTAGACAACATGATGTAACAGCTATTTTAAAGTGTCATATGCTGTGGTCTCTGCCTCCCAGGGAAAGATGTATCCTACCGTCTTCTCTGCTAACCAGAGGGGTGTCAGGGAGAGCTGCACAAGGTTTATCTAATCTCTGCTGACAGACTCCACATCTTTTTTCCATACAGCACTTGTACAAGTAAACCTTATTCCACTGGGACATTAAAAGTCACTTCAATGGCAACCTGAACTGGATGGAAGCCTGGGAGGTTTCATTAGCCTCTCCCTCCTCCCCCTTCCTCCCTCCCCTCCTCCCACCCGCTGCCACAAACAAAACAGAAACTTCGAGCACGTTAATTGTACCTGCACGAGCTCGGAGTGCTCTGCCAAGGCCTTGCGCTGAGCCTCCAGCGATGCAACCTGCTGCTGGTACCGCAGGCGCTGCTTCTCCCACTCGAGTGATTTCTGTCGGAACTCCTGCAAGGACAGCAGGGGCAGCACATCCCTTTCCAGTCCACATCCACATTCGCCTTCTCTCCCACTGTATCCTCACACACCTTTCCCCACAGCAGGGAAACCATTAGCCAGTCACCTGATGCAGCGGCTCAGCAGCACAGAACCCTCACACACTGTGCTCGCTGCATTCCCTCCCCTCCCGAGGTAAAACGTCAGTGTCAATTATTGCTGTTTACAAATGTTAAGTGCCAACACACTCATGGCTGGTTTCATGGGTCTGCTGTCAGGGGTTTAACAATTCAGACTGGCTTCAGCTTCCAGAACATGCTGCCATCGAAATCACTAAGATGACAAGAATGAAGTATAGAATTTGAATGCTAATCTCTGCCCCAGAAACTGGGCACTGTGTCAGGTGTGTGTGTGTTACCACATCTTTGGGGTACAGGAGGAGAAAACTGAGTGGGGTTGAGCTCAGCAGAGCAGAAAGATTAAAAGATGAGACAGGGTTGAGAAGAAGTTTGACATGTAGCTCCCTCCTCCTCAGAAAAAGTGAGAATACAACCTCCCCACACTGGAACTCATTCCATTCACATAATTTATTACTCTTTCAGCACCTTCTTCTTTTCATTTAGTCTAAGAACAGCATCAAGGTTTATCCTGTGTACTCAGAGGCTCCAGTGCAGGAAATTGCCTTTATTACAGAAGCAGTTGAGAAGAGCTACACCTGGAGAGTTGACGAAGAGTACTCCTTAAACAGAATTCACAGTTCTCTTCCTAGTGGGCAGCTCAGTCACCAGTAAGTCAGTTAATACATACAAACTGCTCAGCACTTGCTTTTTCATCACATACCTCCAGCTTCCTGGTCAGTCTGCTCAATTCAAACTCATCTTCTCCTTGTCCCTTGTTAGCATCTCCTCTGCCTCCCCTTGCTTTTTTCTTCTGCAGCTTCTCATAGCTCCTCCTCAGCCGGGACAACTGCGAGGAGACAGTGAGAGACAGCTTTGCTCAAGGCCCCAAGGCAGGAATTACAGAGCCCTTTGAGAGAAGGGACACAGAATGGTTCACACAAACAATCCCCTCATCAAGGCCACACAGCTCACAAGTGAAGGCTTCCATTGGGATAATGAGCCTATTATACCAACAGCATTGCAAACAGACCGAGCTGTGTGAGAGGAGCAAGATATGCCACTGAAATCGTGACATCAGCAGCTTTAATTAGACCTCTGTCTTACAATGATTAAAACATGACTAAAACGATAAGACGGAGATTAACATGTAGCTGTCAATGCAGCAAGAGCACATCCCTCTCCTTACAGGTGGCTCCCAGCCACAGGAAGAGCCGGCAGGACCTGTGGCTGATCTCCTCCCACAGAGGAGCACAACCACCACACCACACACAGCGACAGATTCCTGGGTGGCTAAAATACACTTGTGCAGCACAGGTGGGAACTGGAACTCTCCCACTTACTGGGAGAAGGAAGATTTGAGAATTGCCAATACCAATAATATCAACACCACTTCATCTGTCATTTTCTGCTTAGATACACTATGTATTTCACAATGAGTGGAGAATGCCAACAGAAAATATCACTCCTACACCCGCTGCTAGGATGCTGGAGTCATATTAGAAGCAGGAATGAGAAAAAACTCCTGACATTTAAATGACCCTCTGTGCAAATAATCACTTGCAACTGGTGGAGTTTTCTCTCTGATGATCTCCCCTCTGCTCAACTATTACACAAAAAGTTTCCAAATAGCCATAGGAATTTGAGAAGGCATCATTCCCATTTTACTGATGGAGAAAGCTATGCCCATGGATGAACAGAAGAACCATGAAAAGAATAAATATTTGATTCAAGACATAATGCATTCAGTACTTTGGTGTCTTCAATGGGAACAGACAGATGCTCAGGCTTAGAGTTAATACCAACATCTTTTGCCAAACACATCAGGAGATAAGAGGGTTATTCTTTCTACAGTCTCAGTGAGTTAGACACTGTACCTGTAATTGCACTGGAAATGGTGGTAAACAGAGACAGAAATAATTTCCCCAAACAGTACTAAGAACAGAAGACTGAGGAATATTGGAGCTCAACGTCATCAGCATTAATACTGTGTGGGTAAAACACCCACACACTGCAATTTAGGCCACAACACACTCCGTATTTCAGCCTTAGCAACTTAGGCAGAGCTGCCAATGTACCTCAGCTTTGCTTTGCAGCCTATGCACAATTCCAGTGGGAGCAGCCAGTGAACGAAGACTGTTAGTCATATGGAACAGTAAGGTGTTTTAAATGAGGACAGATGCCTTCTGTCGTCAGAGCAGAGACTATCAAATTAATTTCACTTATGGCTTAGAGTTAGCAGGAACCAGGCCCAACCCTCCAGAGAAAACAGGTCAGTGCTCTCTGAGCTGCTCACGCCAGTTAACTCCCTGCCACTAGCAAGCAAGCGGAGACAGGCAGAGTTCAGCCCTAAACCTGGAATGCTGTTACACCACCCGCAGCACAGGTGAGCAAGAACTGAAAGCTCTGACATTATTGTCAAACACTATTTTCTGAGGATTTTACTAGTTTTTATTAAAACTAATATGCCTTGAGAGGACAAAATCCTTACCAACATCATCAGAGTCAACGGAGGCAAAAAGACGAGACTGTATACCATTGTTATTTCTTGATCTCACACAAGCCAGGCCAGTTACACCTCCACCCTTTCTGAATTTCAGAAATGCTGGAAGGGCAAATTGCTGCTGCCTGTACCCATGGCAACTCCAGAACCAGCACTGTGGTCACTGGGATGGGCAGACACAGGTCATTTTTGCAGTAAACTTCTGCAGATCTCCAGAATGTGAAAACATCTACTCCACATTTTTTCTCCAGCAGTTCTCTGTTCATCACCAACTTCCTCCAAAACACAAAAAACTGTCCAAGTGAACCATAAAAACGTCACTTTGTCTACACTCAATGGTCTTTTTTTGCAAGCACATAAACACTAAGAAAATGGGGAGGTTTAAAACCACAGCATTTAAACAAAAGCCGTGAGGCAAAGTATTTCACCTGTCGCATCGTACGTCAAGTGAGAACTAAAAACCAAACCTCTCTTTTTGCAGCTCACCTCCTCTTGGAACGCCTTCAGCTGTTGTTCATACTCTCTAACCATGGCCTGCTTGGATTTTTCCACCTCTTCGACCTGGCGCCGCAACACACCAACCTGAACCGAGAGTTAAAAAGCAAATGAATACAGCAGTATAAGTAGACCTCAGGTTAGTAACTACTAGGAGGTTTCACCGGGGTCCCTCACTATGAATCAGATTAAATCTATGCCTAAATCTTTGGTAGGCTGGGGCCAGAACTCCTTCTGATATGGACTCTTTTTTTGAGCCAGTTTCTGGTTTTCATTTTTGGGGATGAAGTTGACGGGTTTGGCTTATGCCAAAAAGGCCACTTCTATCCAGCATTTTCATCAAATTCTCCACGAATATGCATTATGATTTCAAGCTACCTACCAAGAGAAAGGCTGGCCCTGTCATTATCTGTGCTCAGGTAAAAAATCCAAATGATGAGGGAGAAAGAAATAAATGGGGCTTTGAAATGCACAGAGAATATCTCCCTTACACTGATTCAACTGCTTCTGTTTTGTCCTTTTTTTTCCCAGAGTACCCACCTTTCTAATTGCAGGTCCAAAGGACAAAGTGAAATGAGAAGAAATCCCCACAGAAAACTCACATGACTAAACCAAAAGCATGAATATACTTCAGTAATGACTTTAACCGTATTTTACAGTTCAGGTTTGAAATCCATGTTCAGTTTTGAAACCCCATGTTTTTAGGGGTAAGAAATATTTCAAGTGTCTTGAGAAAACATAATTGATAATAAAAATGATAACCTATATGATAAAAATCACTATTCCTACAAATGAAAATCCTGTGACTCAACTGCAATTTATGGTCCACATCCTGTGCAAAAATTTCACTGATACTTCTCCACAAAAATTTCAATACAGAAAAATTTTGCACTTCCTCCAGGCCTTTAATTAAAGACCACAAAAACTGAGTTGCAAAAAACAGCCCTTGGAGAATCTTCCAGCAATACCTTACTGTAGTTTCAGTAGGAAATTGGGGTTTTTTCTACAAATGACTGCAGGTTGCTGGGCGGTCCGTTACTGCTGTAGCCAAATCCAGTGTCTCTGGATTCTCTCTAGAAACTGAGAATTCAATCTGTGAACTTCCACCAACCTTTGAGGAGTTGATCACTTGACTCTGAATTATGAATTAGATACCTTGTTCCAACAGGCCCCTCGGTAAATTCTATTCCTGATTTCAACAGGTAAAACACACTGGCTGTCTCCAAACAGAAAACAGTATAAAATGGAGGTACCTCCTTCTGTTTCTCCTGTAGAGCAGCCCTGGCAGAGGAAAGCTCCTGCTCCCGAGCACTCAGACAAGCTTCCAAAGCCTGCGTCTGCCCTTCCCACTCAGACTTCTTGTGAGCCACCATGATGTCGATCTGCTTCATCAGCTCCTGCAGCTCGGCCTCACAGGAGGTCAGGAACCCGCCACTGGAAGAGAAGGAGCCTGGAGGTAAAAGCAGCATCACCCAACATGGGGTTCGTGTCCCAAACCAACAAAGGCAGAGAACACGCACCAAGGCACCAGCTGTGCACCCGCAGTGATTTGAACTCTCTGCAAATCAGCTTGCAGAGAAACAGAATCACAGGATCATTAGGGTTGGGAAAGACCTCCAAGACCACCAAGTGCAACCTCTGACCCAGTGCCACCCATGCACACTAAGCCCCATCACTTAGGCATTCGTCCCTTTGCCCCAGCACTGTGCATAATCCAACTAAACCTAAGCATGTTTAATTCATATTTTGTATTTGCCTTAATTGCTCTCCAGGCAGAGGCATTTTAGACCAAGCTTCAGTCACCAGAGGAATCTCACAGCCGAGCTATCAGCTCCTGAAAACAGAAGTTTATCACAAATGCAGACAAACCTTGAAGCAGAGGGGGCTGGATGACAACATGATAATGAAGAATCCAACCCTCGCAATCCATCAGGGAGCACATGTGCCCTAGCAACGCCCAGATTTCTAATTTGGCGCAGTAATTACTGAAGCCAATTCCAGTAACTCCTCTAAAACTTCCCAAGCTGCTAAGCCAGGGACAATATTAAGGTTTGCCAGCCACAGCCCTAGAGGGTGGTGAACTCCTTAATGATCTTTACCCCTTTAATTTGCCTGTCAAACAGGGAGAACTGAAAAGAAATGGAAATCAATAGGTTAAGAGATAGAAATTTCTCTGCTCTCCCTGGGCATGTGCGCACTTCAAAACTTGGCAGTTTTTCTATAAGGAAAGAAATACTTCTTAAAGGAGCCAAAATCAGTCACATTTGAAGCTCACCCTGTCCTGCGAGTTAATGCTAAAAAATTAGCAGCTATTATGCAGAGCAGGAACATTTCCTTCACAGCATCTGCTAACATGTAGCTAAGTCTAAACTTGATTTCTGCAACCAGTTCTCTGAAGAAGATACAGTATCAAATACATTTGAGTCACATTCTCAAGGATGACTGGGAAAACGGCATCAGTGACTTTTGCTTCACGCTTGTTTAACACATAAAACATTTTGTTCCATTATTGTCACTACAGTCTCTCTTGGGGATCCAAAAGTCTACATACTTTCACCTCAGACAGAGCATTAAGGATTCCTCAGAGCTGAATGGGACTCTGCAGTTTCAACATGAGCTGGAAATAATCAGATGTTTTCAATAAAAACAGATAACAAAGTCACATCTCATTAACCTTGCATGGCTGCTACAAAATAAATATTTATTCCCAAGAAGGGTTTAAAACAATCAGGAAAAAAAGAAAAAAAAAAGGTGGAAGGTTTTCAGGAAGATGTAAACCTAAATTGCTAACATAATATCTGTCCAGGGCTTATTGCAAAGCCAGCTCAGGCAGTGCCTTTGCTTCTGCACCAGGTGAAGGCCACTGCACACTGATACCTGAGGATTTATTCTGAATAGGAGGGAAGGTTAATACTTGAATCCTTTTAAATGACTGCTGTGTACAGTTGCATACACACCTCCCCTGCTCATTTCTCTGCATTCCTTCCAGTAAAGCCTCCATCACTGAATCCTGGTGGCTTCAGCAGCTAGGGAAGCACAGGAAAGCAGCAGTCATCCATGGCAATGCACGAACAAGGCTGCTTCTCCACCCAGCTGCAGAAAAAGCAGAAGTCCACAAAGCAAAGAAGTTAAAAAAATTCCAGTGAGCATGCAGTTACAGGTGAGGAAAACAATGGTCACCTTCATGAATTTGTAAGCCAAACATCTGCCAAATAAAGGAACTCCTTAAAAATTCCTCTTAAATTATGCCTTAAATTATGAAAATAAGTTGAACAGCTTAATAGTAGCAGTACATTGTTTTAGTTAAAAATCACACCTTTTAGGTCACAAACACAGGTATGTGTGAATACACATAGAAATTTCACATACTGGTGAAGCAAGAAGGGTTCACATTAAAGGTAAAAACAAGGGATAAAAATTTACCATGGAACAATGGCCAGAAATCCAGAATTTATTTCAGTGGCTCCTCCCTGAAACCGCAGCTCTCTAACACAAAAATGGTTAAACTCATCCCGAGGACAGAGACTTTAGTTTCATCCTGTGGAGGTATTAATACCAGCTTCTCCTTCCAAAACCTATACACTGTCTCAAGTATTGCAGATGGATCCTTCCAACATCTTTCTCAAAGATTAATATGGCATCATTTAGCAATCAACAAAAGGGGAACGGGTCACAGCAAGGGAGACTTTTAAAAAAGTAGGCTCAGCTCTGCTCTCACTCCCCTAAGAACCTTCTATCCTCTTCTAGAGCACTTTAAACACCATCCAGGGATTAAAGCCTGTCCTTGGGAGTTCTGCTGAGTTTTAAATCACACTCACACAGAATATAGACAGAAAAAAAATCCTATCCCTATTCTGATACTGTTTTGTCTCTCTTTGGTCTTGCCTGTGCTTAACAAAACTCCATCAGTATGCAGAACACCTCCATGGTACTGCTGAGGGCAGGGTGCTGAGCAGAGCAGATGAGCACATCCCCTGAGCTGCTGACAGCATTCCAAAAGTTCTCTAGGTGGCAACAGCAGACATCAGCCAGTAACAGCTCTTCCCTACCATTCTAATCACACCTACACAGAATCAATTTTCAGTGGGCAGAGAGATGAGGAGACAGCACAGAATCCTAGAACAGTCTGGGTTAGAAGGGACCTTAAAAATCATCTTGATCCATTCCCTGCCATGGGCAGGGACACCTTCCACTAGCCCAGGTTGCTCCAAGCCCCATTCAACCTGGCCTTGAACAATTCCAGGGATGGGGCAACCTGTGCCAGGTCCTCAGTACCCTCAAAGGGAAGAATTTCTTCCTAATATCCAATCTAGCCCTGTCCTACCATGACATGCCCTTGCTTCTATCATCCTTTAAGCAGGGCCTCCACAGTACACCTGACTCTGCCAGCTTTGCATACCTGCCACCTTACCCAGGTTTTGGGGAAAAGCCTTACAATCAGACATCTCTACCTGGTTTATGCTTCATCAGGTTCATTGTTCAGTACTAAATTTTGGCCTTTCAAGCTTGCAAGTCACATAGTGCCAGTGTAGAGGCCCAGAGAAGTTGCCTTTAGTCACAGCAAATCACAGGCACCTGAAGTAAAGACCCCATAGCCACCACAAGAGAGGACAATCTCCCTCATTAAGTACAGCTGAAGCAAGGACAGCTGACTGATCACTTCTGAAAAAGTGAAGAAAATGCAAATATTTGTGAAAAAAAACCAAACCAACAAACAAACAAAAAAACCCCCAAAACATTTAAAAATAAACAAGGCTTATCATCCCAACTTGAGACAGAACTGTTGTAGAGTCAAGTGTAGAAAACCAGACAATACACAGGAGGACTTAAGAATAATGCCCCTAAGAAAAGACTAGGATTACTTTGCATTTAAAAGCACAGAAAGATGCCATTTCAAAGTGTTGCTGGAAACATGCTTACAATGAACAGAAAAGCAGCAACAACTTCCCAAAAGCACTGCCAAAGACGTGCCAGTGGCCGGAATGCCACTTGCGGCAGGAGCCGGGTGAAAACCACTCGTCACCGGGGGAAGAATAACGCAATCAGGTCGGAAAAGACCTCCAGGATAGCTGAGTCCAAGCTGTGACCGAACATCACTTTGTTCCCCAGCTCAGAGCACCGAGTGGAGTCCCCCCCATCCCTGGGCACTCCCTGCCGATGCTGGACAGCCCTTTCTGTGGAGAATTTCTTCCCAGTGTCCGACCTCAGCCTCCCCTGGCGCAGCTTAAGCCTGTGAGGTGACTGCAGGAGTGACCGCGGCCAGCGTGCCCGGGCAGCGCCACCGGCCCCGGCGGAGCATTCCCGATTCCCGCTGCGCTCCCGCTCCTGCCCAGCAGGAGCCTCCCCCCTCTCCGCCCATCCACGCTGTTTACCCCGCACCCGCCGCGGCAAGTTTTGCTGCCCGGGGCCCCTCCAGCGCTGCTCCCCTCACCTCCCTCCCCGCAAACACCCCGCACTAGCTGACTAGCTGGCTGGCTGGCTGGCTGGCTGGCTGGCCAAACTTCCTTCCTTCCTTCCCTCCCTCCCTGCGCCCTTCCCGCCTTTCCCCACCTAACGGCGGGTCCGGCCCGGCCCGGCCCGGCCCGGCCCGGCTCGGCTGCACTGCGCCTGCGCGCGGACCGCGCCTGCGCACGGCGGGGCCCGGACACGGGCAGGGTACGGCGGGCAGGGGACAGTGCGGGGACATGGGGGGGGCACTGGGGCGTACAGGGAGGACACCCGGGGGACACCCGGGGGGTATATGGGAGGGCACGGGGGGGAAACCGGAGGGGGCACTGGGGAGACACTGAGGGGGCTAGGATCATGGGGGGCTTAGGGTGTGCGGGGAGGGGCACTGCAGGGGCGCCAGGGGGACACCGGGGGGGGCCACCTCGGGGGGCACGGCGGGAACACCGGGAGAACATTGCAGGGACATTCGGCGCGGTGCTGAGGGTACCACGGAGGGGACACCGGAGAGGGGATACGGGGGGACGCGTGGCTGAGTCAGCGCGGATCGCACGGCCCCGGGGCTGGGACCGCTCAGCCCGGTGCCCATCGCCGCCCCGGGCAGCGGGGTGTATTTAAATAAATACCTGTAGTCACCTATCCTGGTCTGGTGTTCAGTAAATACCTGTAGTCACCCACCCTGGCACGATCGAGCCGCAGGGTCACACCGGGGCGAGTCCCTTACGTGACACTTCAGGGAGGGCAGGGTACAGTGAAACATCCCGGAGGGATTCTCGTAGCTGGTGGTGAAAGATAGGTCTTGTTTTTCTTCTGTTTCACCAGTTTCCTGGACTTCAGGTTCGGGCAGGATACTAGGTGCCGTGAAATCCTTTGCTGTGACTCGTGGAGCCCTGGGTGAGGCACAGCACTGCTTAGGGCAGCAAAGGGTTCTTGGGCAGAGTTACAGGTGTGCTAAAACTCACTCAAAGTAGACTTCTAAAAGTCACTCAGTAGATATAAACACATGTAAATATCATTAACAAAAACCTGCTGGTTTTGTACATTCATCTCTGATGCATATCAGTCTGCAAATCACTTTAATAGTGTTCTGTTCAGGTGAAGTAGTTCTCCTGTGGTTATAAGTGGATTAGGAAAATCAAGGTTTTCCTTAAAACTTTAAGCCTAGCAGGAATTAGATCCAAACTGGAGCAAGCCCAGAGTCTGAACTGCAGCTCCTTGGCTGGGGATGTTGTTGGGAACAGCATCTACTTTGTGTCACAGGTTTAGCTGCACTCACCTGCTGCAAGGATGGACAGCGAGGTGCAGAGGGACGGCAGGATCCTGGATTTGATCGATGATGCGTGGAGGGAAGATAAATTGCCATATGAGGACGTGGCTATCCCTCTGGTAGGTGAATTGCTGCTTATCAATCTGAGTTAAGGCTGCTGTCTTTATCACAACCCCTTCCAAGAAAAAGCACAGGGTGTTGCTTGTAGTGCAGCTAATTTGTACAAAAGGCTCCTGGGATGGATCTGACGCTTTCCTTTCCCTATATGTCAGTCACTCCTGTGTGCCTGAGGATGTGGATGTTTCTGTCCCACTTCCCCTGACCAGTTGTTGAATCTTCTCAGAACTGGAGTGTCCTCTCGTCACACTGTTTTGGGTTTGGCATCAGGGAGAAGTTCTGGTTTGGAGAACAGAGATGATCAGTCTCATGCTGACAGTTACAGTCTTGGTTACACTTTATTTCCACTTTCTGAAATTCCATTAAAAGAAGCTGAAAAATTTCATACCTGTTTCCAGTCAGTCTTTTCCAGATGCAGTGTTACTGTTGCCAGTTCAAGGACAGCAGTGCTGTGTCCAAGGCATAGCAGCTGTCCTTTCATTTAGGGCTGCAGGGCGGGAGAGGGGCAGCAGGGAAAAAGCTCCTGCTGATCCCACAAAGCCCAGAGTTGAAGCTTCAGATCTCCCCCTCTGAAACCTTTCCTTAGCTACTTTGAAACTTCCAGGGAAGTGGGAGGTAGCTGAGGATTTTCCCTTTCCTTGTTCTCTCTGGTACATGAGCTTTACCTTGGCTAGCACTGACATGGCAGTTGTGGGGTCATGAGTTTCCTTCAGCACAGTGACATTTCCAAATTGTGACGTGGCTCAAGCTTTAGCCCTTCCACCACTTTCAGGGAGGACAAGGAGCAGCTGCCCAACTCCAAAATCCATATATACAGCACACAAGTTTTCCTGCCAAGAGCTGGGCTTGGGGGAAGGATCTTGCAGATAAAAGAGCCCAAACCCCCTATTGCTTTGGATAACATTTATAAGGCAGGCTGAGTATAATAAACTGGTTCCTTTCTGACATTTGCCTTTACCTTGAGTCCCAACATTACTGTTTCTTCCCTTACAGCTACCTCTTGGGCTACTTACAGTCACATAGAGATGGTGGCCCCAGAGCAGGAAGCCTCACCAACCAACAGTAGAAAGAAAGGCCTGGCTGTGGATATGAAAATCCCCAGAGATAAGATTGGCTCTGATCATGTGGGAAAAGCAATATGAATTTACAGGAGACTTACTCAGAAGCACTGTAAAGGAGCAAACAGAATGGTTGTGAAGTGCTCTTTGAGCCTGTCCTGAGCATTTGCTCCAGTGCTCACTTGAGAGATTCCTGGGAACTCAAATGGGCTCGAATCATGCATTGTTTTCAAAACTGAAACATTTTAGTTAGCTCATGCTGGGATTTCCAGAGATCTAGAACTCGGAATTCCTGCCCAAATGGTATCTGGCAGAATAGCACTCAGTGTGACTGCAGCAGTACAGCGACACAGAGAACAAATAATAGAGGGGAAATGAGGTCTCACTTAAACTATCCTTCCTCCTTACCATGTCGTGAGCAGCTCTGTGCCACACCTGGTAGGGAGTTCTGAGTTCTGCTGTTGATCCAGCACAGCCACACCCGAGTCCAGCATGTAAAGAGGAAGGATTTCTCACCTGCCATGGGAAAGAAATGCGTTACAGAATCTGTTGTCTTAATAACAGCTATAATAACTGCAGTATCTGTATTCTTGCCAACAGCAGAAGCAGCACATTGCAAACAAGCAATGGAATAATTGCATTGCACTGTTATTTACTTACTTTGCATCTGCTATATATTCTCCTTCGCTGTGTGTGCAGTCTGAGTGTATAGCAAGGCCCCAGGGTCCTGGAAAACCAATTTACCTTTCAGATTAAGCACCATATTCATGTGAAAAGAATATTGTTCATAACAGGGCTCAGTAATATTTTTAAGTGGATCAGTATGTATGATATTTATTGTTCAGATGCACCCTCCGGTCTCGTTTGTATTTATCCCTACAAAGCCTTAACAACCTGCTGCTTTCAGGAAGTATATTATGTGTGGAATGCATTGTACCTCTGTTTTGTTCTCAGAATGAGCTCCCTGAACCAGAGCAAGACAACGGTGGCACCACCGAGTCTGTTAAAGAGCAAGAAATGAAGTGGACAGATTTGGCTCTCCAGTATCTCCATGAAAATGTTCCACCCACGGGAAACTAGTGAATCAGTGAGATTTCATGCAGCAGATGCATGAATGCCACATAAAAATATTTTTCAGCTGACCACTGTTGTCAGAAGCTACTCTAAGAAAGAACCAGCATTCCTGAAACATTCGGATTCCAGCAGTAGTTCTGCTCACAGCGACCAGTTTAAAATGCTTCTGTAATGAGTGTGAAATAGCAGAGGTCGCTGACACCCAGAGCTAAGAGCAAAATGTTTCACCTATTTATTTCATTTTTTCTGTAAATTTTTCTTAAGTTGGTGCCAATTCTGATCTTCAGTGTTTTCTCCACATGATTAAAAAGTAGTTTTTACTGTCTCGAGTTGTTACTGATTTCAAAGCTCACAATGGGATCATTGTCTAGAGTTCAGTGTACAAACCCAAACAGCTGTGAGTTGTTACCATCTTCCACTAGTGTGTGGCTGAGGAAGAATGTGTGGGGCAGGTGTGAAAGGCTGGTCAACAGATCCCAGAGCTGGAAGTAACCTGTAAACACAGGTGGCCACTTTACCTCCTCATCTCAGGATCTGATAGTGGAGGTGGAGAGCATTTCCAGTCCTGACCTTCTGGGAATGTTTGCCAACATGCACACCATGAACAGACAGTCTAATTTATGCTAGAATGGTGCTTACTCAAGATCATGGTCTTTAGAGGGATGACTGAGAGTTCCAAGGAAGAGCCTGCCAGTCCCAGGGTACTGCCAGTCCCAACGTATTGAAATGAGAGGCACTTGGATGAGCTACCTCAGAAGGGAAATGGGAATCCAGGGAAAGAAACAAGTTAGAGCTTAGCTTCAGGCAACAAGTTGGTACCTCTTTTTCTTGTGTTGAGAAGAAAGGCAAGGCCCTCTTGAGTTATCCCATTTTATCTCTGATTCACAGATGTCCTTTGCAACAGGTAAAAGCCTTCTGTTCATCTTCGTGTTTCACTGTTGGACTGATTCTGTCTCACCATTGGCAGAACTTCTTGCTAAGGAGAAAATATTTTGACAGAGTTTAGGATTACTGGTGGGGGTGAGAAAGGAACTGGAAGGAAAACAATGTTTAAATTATATTCTTTTGCCAGTGCAGCAGAAAAAGCACTGTCCTGGACTTCCATACTCCAGTTTTTGGGCCTCTTTTCTCAGTGTTTATCCTCTCCAAAATAACAAACCCCAGCCTTTGCCTGGGTGATCCATGCCTGCACCAGACAAGCAGCACACACTTGTCTGAACAAGAAGGAGCTGCAGACAGGCAGCAGAAGAGTTAAGGATTAACCCAAGAATTAGCAAAGTCAAAAAGCTTAGTTTGCACAGCATGGACCAAAGAACCAGCTATGCAGCTGGGAACTGTAATAGCTCAGCTCCTCCTTGGATCATTACCGGGGAAAAAACAGAGCCTGCGCCTAATGAGGGAGTTCTGATCCTCCCCAGGTTCCCTTTCCCTCGCCTACAGTTAGAAGAATTTGCTAAGAAAACGTCAGGCAAAGCTACCACACAGCTTCTATCCAGCAGCCATCCCCACTCTCTCTTCCCCTCTCCTCTCACCCCTTTTCAAGCTCCCAACCACCCTTTCTTCCCAGTTTTGCCACTATATCTATCTTCCAGCTTCAATTTCAGTCTTCCTTTCCTGCCCCTGGCAGTTGTCTTTGCTTAGCTATCTTCTTCCATTCATCAAGGAAAGAAAAAACCTTTCTTACTTGAATTACAGCTGAATTCATGACCCTCTAGCAGGTCTGCAAGAAAATATGGTGGGAATGCCGGTTGTATGAGTGTCATCCAAAGCAGCAAATGCTTGGGAGCCCAGTGGAGAGCCAGACTGCCCCAAGTACCTTCCCTTTGTTGTGCATAGTGCTATGCACCTGCCTCCTGCCCGAGGGGACAGGGCTTTGTGGCTTAGAAGGGACTCTACAGAGCAGGAGGAACGTGGAAGGTTAGGGATCATCATGAACTCTCCAAAGGCAGGGCCCTGGGAAACCAAGCACTGGCCCTGCCCAGATGCTTATCAGACTTGCAGTGACACCTACGATACTCTTGACATTCTTTGCAAAAGACAAACAGACAGACAATAATTTCCTTAGTTTCAACACAGTGTAGTCAAATTGCTGCTTACAGCATGATACCAACCCATTTGTGTCTTTGATTAGTCATCTCCTAGGGCAAACTATGTTTAAATTAAGGAAACCTGTTAGAATAGAAAGTGCCCCACCTTTTTAAGAAGAAGCTTCAGTTGTATAACTGAAGACTGGTCTTCATTTCTGGGCTGGTAACTTCCTGCTTTCACCACACCTACTGGGACAGGCAGAAAAAAAAGGGAGCAAACTGGTGTCAGAGCCAGCAGACACATGCCAAAGAAATTGTGGGATCCTTAAAGTCTCTTACCCATAGAAGCTCCATGTGGAAGTCCATATGCTGAGGCTGTGTGTCGTGTTCATCTACCTTTTGCATGGGGTGAAAACAGGTAAGAAATCAAGCGTTTGTTTTGAATGTTTTTGTCAAATATAACACACTGTGCTTTAGAGAAACATGACTGTGTCTGCCCTCTGCGTTACAGTTTCTGGGTAGGGTTTCTCACTGGCATTATTTATTTCAGCGAAGCAAATTATACTGGTTACATGGATGGAGTCAGTTCTAAGAGTTCCAAATGTAAAACCAGAAGTAGTTTTTTATTATCTTTTCCTCCCTTTGCAAACATTTCTCTTGTATAAGTACTATCCATCTACACTGAAAATGTCATTCGAAATCTTCAGAGAATAATGATTTCTTTTCAGGGGTGTCGTGTACGACCGAGGCGAAGGATGAATTACCATTTATGAACAGTAAGGTCCATTTGATATCCTCACAGCCCTACAAGAATCAACCTATGTAACAATAAACAAATGTACTGCCTTGCGTTAGCATACACACGGGAGCAACTCAAGTTACAGCTCTCTGCTTTGTAGGGAAAACAAACAGGGTTTAAAAAACCAGTATTTTTATAAATACTAACCTGTATTTCATCAGATCCTCTGGAGTAATCTTGGGGTCACATTTTGCTTAGTTTGTTTAATACACTGTAGGCAATGTAGTCACAAGAAGTGGGGAAAAAAGAATTGTGTGAAAAGGCAGGAGAAAACCAGGGAGCTATTGAGGACCAGTTTAAGAGGTGGAGGGCACACTCCCTGTGGAGAAGTGATGGAAATCTTCACCAGCAGTCCTGAGATTCACGGCGCGGTTGTGAAGTCTGCTGAAAGGGGAGAGTTATTGTCGATGGTTTAGAGCAGTCTGTTGAAACACACTGCACAGAGCCCAGGCAATGTGGCAGAGTGCCAGAGAACCTATAGACGGACAGAGAAGCACCTCTGTGTCCCAAGGACCACAGCTGGGACAAGTGACCACTGACCCACTGATGTGAAAAATCTGTTGGAACTTCCCTTTGCAAGAGGACAGACTGGTAGAGGTAAAAAACCTCGGCTGCTATTCTGTTCACACAGACAGCTCAGGACCACAGCCCCAACACCACTGGGGCAAGCCTGTCCATAGGATCAGCATCCAGGACAGACGGAACAAAAAGCTTTCAAACACCATCTCCAAGAAAGGAATGAGAGAGGCCAGGGGAGTGCAGGCCTTAATAGCACTGCCTGGGACTGTTCTTGGGACCACAATACTCCCACCCAGGAGTATATAACTTCAGAACATACATATTCAAAGTGAAAGAGAGTATGTTTAGGTTACATATTAGGAAGGAATTGTTCCCTGGGAGGGTGGAGAGGCCCTGGCACAGGTTTCCCAGAAAAGCTGTGGCTGCCCCATCCCTGGAAGTGTCCAAGGCCAGGTTGGACAGAGCTTGGAGCAACCTGGGAAGATCTCCCTGCCCATGGCAGGAGGTGGGACTGGATGGTCTTTAAGGTCCCTTCCGACCCAAAGCATTCTATGATTCTATCATGATATATATTCAGATATGTAAGTTCAGAGCCAGGCTATTTTGAAGGTGCCTCTCCTGCTGCAATTGCACCTTGGAGGCTGATCTCAAGCTCAAGACCAAAGGTGTCCAGCTCCCAGGCAGGGACATGGATTTCACACATTTTTATGCCCCCTGCTACAGGTGCTGGAACCTCAGAGCCCCTTGCCCAGCAGACTAGTGTTTTGCCCCTATTTTATGTATCAGAAAACTGAGCAGGAGAATGTGAAGTGGCAGAGTCTGTCTAGCAAGCTAATGGCCAAGGCAGGGCCAGGGGTGAGCTAATAGCATGCTGGGTTAATTGCCACATTCATTCACCTTTCCTACAGGGAAAGTTAAGTTAGTTAAGTACAGTGCCAGGCTGTAACTTTCCACCTCACTTTTTCATTTGCAGACTTAATAAGCCACTTACCCCAGTCATCTTGGAGTTTGGTAAGCCATTTCGATAGGAGTCACTGTGCTCATCAGAAGGAAGAGCAAAGCCAGGATAACTGGACATCCTGATGTGTCAGGATGAGGCTGAGATGGGCACCATCCTGCTAGAAAAGAAGCTGCCAGGTTTTCTCCTATAATAATATTACATATTATAATCCTGATCTGACTTTAATAATCAAACCAGAACCAATCCGTGTCAGGTATCAGCAAATGCTGACCAGCTCTTTGAAAGCTCCTCTGAACCAGAAGGTTTGGGCTATTCTAATGACAAACACAGTGCTCCTCTGGGCAAGTCTCAGCACAAGGCAGGAGATACAGAAACAAATTAAGCAATCAGTGCAATCTTGCACCCTATAGAAGTAATTCTTGCCTGGCATTTCTGCCTCTATTACTGCAGCTTCAGTGGTGGTAAAGATGATAAGGAACACTGTATAATACTGCTATACAATAACTAAAACAATGCCTAGTTATTAGTAAAACCAAGATAGCTGTATTTTTTTATGCTGCAGTAGCACCTAGAGGACAGTCGCTGAGTCTCACTGTGCAAGCTGGTGTAGATCAGCAAAAATGTTACCTTTCCTCTGCCAGTTACTCTGAGATCTCCACAAGAGCAGTGTCACAGGAGAACTCTTGCTGCTCTTTCACTGGAGCTTCTTGGCACTGCAAGAATGAGGTGAGAGCAGGCTGGCCAGGAGACAGCCACCAGGTGATGTTTCCTCCTTGGAGCAGGGCCCAGAGCCACACTGCCCCTGGGACCCCTGAGGGAAACATTAGGGAGCCAGAACACCCCCCAATTCAAAGGCTCCTGCTTGCAACCCACATTCACTGGGCCTGGCTGAGGGCTCATTTCCCACCCCTCCTGTCTCACTGTTCATATGGTACCACAGGCTGCATACAGGAAGGACTCCATGGATTTCAGATGTTAAAATTTATGGTAGCAATTTAAAATATTCAGTTGGACTTAACTGCAACATCCTTTTAGCCTATTAACTTTTATTTCTGGAGCTCCTGGGGCTTCTACAGAGTAATTAGTAGAACTATGGCAACTGAGCAGATTGGTTTATGTGCTTGGGCACATAGAATTTATATCACTCTCATGCTCCCACTTTCCAAAGGAGGAGAAAAGGGAAAATGGCTTGTAGAAACTGTGAGAGTTTCATCATTCAGAAGTTAAAATGCACAGAGCATTGGAAATTTGCTAGAGCACAATTAGGTTACAGCTGCAGGTTTTCTAAACTCTTCTACCCACTGCACAGCCTTTTAAGCAACAAAGATCAGGCAGATTCCTCTAGGGATTGCAGCCTGAACAATTGCTGCAGCCTAGGGCATATGTGTGAGAGAAACACTCTCCCCCACAAGGTTCTTCAGTAAGATTAAAACGATTTGGGGGAAAGGACTGTGAGCCAGGAAGAGGCTACTAAACCTGGGAGGGCCTTCATAAGCAGCGTCTGTCTGGAGACAGTTATTCCATTCCCTGCCAATGCCCTGTTGGAGGTTGTACTGGGATCTAAAGGCTCAGCTGGTGCTCTGCTGGAAAAGCAGGGCATAAAGACAGGCTTTCCAAAGGCACAGGCCATCCCATGGAGCAGCACTTACATCCAATTCATTTACTCTGCAGCTGTGTACACAGCACCATCCGTGACATTGCACGCAGCCCAAGGGTGCCCACTCTGCAGTCAGGAACAGCAGGCTGCATCAGCTCACACAAACGAAGCACTGAGCTGCCCCTCACACAGTAAATCCTCTGCAACTTGGCACCTCCAGGCTGGAGGTACAAACCAGCCCCGAGGGCACCTGTTTATCCTCAAGCCTGTCCAGAGCACCTGGGTGTGCTCTCAAACCAGCACAGTAACCATCCCAGGTGTCAGTCACTTCCTCACACTACTGGGATTTCTGGAGAGAGGCCACACCATCTCTCAGCTGCCTGTGGAAGCAGGACTGTGTTTTTTCAGGGAACGCTGCTCCAAGAAGGTGCACTTGCTGTCTTTGTTCCAACATGGCAAGAAAACCTAAGTTCCAAGGTAAGTGCAGTCATGAATATGAGCAGAGGAGATGGGAGAGAAGCGGTCCCAGCTCAGACATCTCACAACACACGTCCCTGCCCCTGTGCAGGGCTGGCAGGTGGAAGCAAATGCACTGGGGCTACACTCCATTTGCCACCCTGTGCTCTTTTCAGATCCCGGGGAGACATGTCCTGCATTCACAGCCCTCGGCTTCGGGAGCGCTTTGATAGGGACAGAGCTGAAGGTGAAGCTGCTGCTCTACACCCGGCAGAACCCAACCTGTGCTGAGGAGCTCCACTCAACAGCCTCCAAGTACCTCACTGTGACCAAGAAAACCACCTTCATTGTCCACGGGTACAGATTCACAGGCTCTGCCCCCATCTGGATCCCCGACCTGGTGCGTCTCCTGCTTTCTGCAGAGGACATGAACATCATCCTCGTGGACTGGAACCAGGGGGCAACAACCCTCATCTACAATTACGCTTCGAGGAAGTGCAAAAGAGTTGCTGAGATTCTGAAGAAACTCATTGATGAAATGTTGGTAAGTTGGACGTTCACACTATGCTATAGTCATTAAGGCACAGTATGTAAAGGGCACAAAGGAAGCATTTAAAACCAGCAGGATGTCCGGGAATAGAAACTCCTAAAAAGGAATACATTAATTTTTGCAGCTATCCTGCAGTGCCAAGTCGTACCCTTGGACTTGGTATTTTGTTGCAATATTCAGTTTACACTCTAAGTCTCTCCATTTCTGGGTACAAAACTCTTCAGACATGTTTTCCCATGCACAGAAACTTTACTTCCACTTTCTGTATGTCCAAAAATCAAATAAAGGGGATTACCTACAGTTCACAGTTCCCCTAAGCTGCTGCACAAGCAATGAAGACACTGGGTCATTAGGATCATGGTGTCTGCTAATGCCTTGCAGGAATCACATGTGGGGCAACTGGAATTTTACTCCTGGGGCCCATGAATGGTTTCTGTCTCCAGTGCCCCAGGAAAATACAGCCAATGCCTGAACTATTTTCATCACAACTCTCAGGTGTGGGCCTCAAACAGGGGCGCTGGCTGCACTGTGAGACTATCAAAGGGGAAATATTTACACAGAGTGGAACGCACCAAGAGAAAATGTGGGAAAAGTAGGGAGGTGCCTTTATGTTCCTCCTGCTGATATTTTTTATGCCTTTCCCATGCCTCAAATATGTGAGCATGAGTAATTTTAAATCTCAGATCGATGGAGCATCCCTTGACTCCATGCACATGATAGGAGTGAGCCTGGGAGCGCACATCTCCGGCTTTGTGGGGCAGATGTTTGGTGGTGCACTTGGAAGAATCACAGGTAAGCCTTCCCCCGTCAGTCCTTTGGCCTCAAGACCGGCACGGCACGAGGCAGTGCCACCCACATGGCTTTGTGTTGCAGGCCTGGACCCAGCGGGGCCCTTGTACCGGGGAACCCCCGCCAGTGAGAGGCTCGACCCCACTGACGCACAGTTTGTCGACGTCATTCATTCTGACACCGACGGTACGTGACATTCCAGCTCCGCAGCTCCATAAGGAAACCCAGGGACTGATGGAGCATGGGAAAGCAGGAGTGTGCTGGGCAGCAGTGACAGGACCCTTGCTCCTTTGGCCCAGGACAGCAGACTCCATCACTGGTGCTGGGAAGGGCTCTGGGGTGCTGTGTTGCCCACACTGTCCTCAGCACTCCCTGGGGAGCTGCTGGTTTATTTGCACTTCAAAACATGCTGCTGGACTACAGCAGTTACAGCCTGGTGGCCCTGAATTACGATGACTTGGGTCCTGTGCAGGAGCTCCTGCAGCACACAGTCCTGCCAGAGCAGTTCCACACTAACATCCCACCCCGGGCTCAGGCTGCATCCCAGCACACAGCATCTCCAAAGCAGGTCCCACAGCTCAGTACCTTGCACAGCAGATCAGTTATCCCCATCCCATGGCTCCCTGCATGATGTTTCCAGCCTCCATCCCACCTCCTCTGAGCTAAACCTTCCACTAGGGTGAATCTGGACACTCCCTCAGCCCTCTCCTTTCCCAGATCCATCAGCCAGGCCAGCAGGGTGATGCCTACCCTCTGCTCTGGTCGCATGGGCACCCTACCCCAAGCACCTGGCTTTCCCACCTCATTGCTTCTCCCAGACCTTCCAAGAAGTCAAACTTAGCACCACAGCAACACCCAGGTTTCACATCCCTTTTCCTCTCCTGCACACAATGACACAAAGCCCTAAATTTTGCACTGTTGCACGCACAGGCTTATTTTTGGTATTTGGTACCATCGCTAAAATGAACCAGCTGGGTCACAACTGCTTGGCCTGCTCCCTAAATGGATGGATGGCATTAATATTCCTGCCCTGCTATTTATTCCCTTTTGTCAGGACTAGGTTACAGAGAAGCACTAGGACATATCGACTTCTACCCCAACGGTGGGACCGACCAGCCAGGCTGTCCACAGACAATATTTTCTGGTAATTAATCCTGCCTTGAACTGCACAAACCCTGATGAAATGTTTCCAATAAGAAAAGGAGGAGAAAGCCAGAGAAACATCATCACTGCTTAGAAAGTACATGAAACCCATATTCTGGGAAAGCCACAGCAGCAACTTCTTCCCAGCACTGATGTGACAGAGGTTTAGCTCATGTGCACTGGGTAGGCATGAGAGACAGGGTGACCTTTCTGTGCCCCTTTCACAGTACAAGTGGGATTAATTTTCTGTGCAAAAAGTCATTAGGTAGATTTGTGCCTTTGTTTTGTGACTGCATTCAGAAAACCAGTGGGAGTATTTTGTTTTTGATTACTATGAACACACAAAAGCCCAAGGACTAGCAGTGGCAAGAACCTGTCCAGAAAATGGGTTCAAGATGAATGAGGAGCAGGCAGGTGGACCAAATCTTGCACCTTCCTTGGCAGTGACTAACAGTGCAGTCTGGAAGATAAAGGCCTTGTCCTGAACCAAAGAAAGTTTTTTTCCTTTCAGCCTGGCATCTGAACTGGTTTGATGAAAGCTGGGTGAAAAAGATACCTCAGAGAAGAAAAGGCAGCTTTGTGAACTCAACCCTTATCATATCTAAGAGAATCTACACAGGAAAACAGCCTGAACCAAAAATCTCTAGAATATGAGGCTTCACTGATTTTTCTGCTCATGCAACAACTCTTTTATTAGTTTGGGCTTTCTAAAGAGTTTTTTTACACCAAAATGGAAAGTCATGTGCTAAACTAAAAGCAATATCCAGCTGTCAGGCCTGAGCTCAGAGAGGAGAGGAAAACACCTGAGATGGAACTGGATTCATATCTGGATCCTCTGGAACTGCAGTAGCCATACTAAAAAAAAAAAAGTTTTTAAAACCAAAAAGACAAAAAAAAAGCAAGCCAGACAGGCAGAGCTGAGTGCAGTCAAAGAGGGAGGACGGTGCCCACTTACTGCTTTGCCATAGCCCAATGTTCCCCAGTGGAATCCACTGGGTTCAGACTGGTCAGGGACTGTCCACAGGTGTGTCCTGTGGGCTTTAATCCTGTTTCCCTGAAGAGTGAGGATGGCTAACAAAATATTTCTTCCCTGTGTATGATTAAGGATTGCAGTATTTTAAATGTGACCACCAGAGGTCTGTTTTCCTGTTCCTGTCCTCCCTGACACAGAGCTGCAACATCACAGCGTATCCCTGCGACTCGTACAGGAGTTACAGGAATGGCAAATGTACCAGCTGTGAAACCTTCTGGCCTATGCCGTGCCCCATCCTAGGTAAGGATCCAGGGAATGTCAGTCCATCCTGAATACAGAGCTGCCTGTCATCACTGTAACTCACTGTGTGATGTTTTGCTAAGGGATCAACACAACATGGTGCTTCGCAAAATCAACTAAGTTATTTCCATTGAGGTTTTTGAAGCCTCTCCTTGGCTTCAAAGAGACCTGAGAAACCTCCCTGTTCTTTGTACCATCACATTACATTGTGATCTAGAACAGAAATTCACAGATAAAGCATCCAGAACTAGAAAAGCCAAAACAAGACTTGGGATCTTTACACTACAGTCAAAAAAACAATGAATTAAAGTCCTTTAGTTGCAGGGTTTGAGGGAGAGGGGCATGTTCTTGCTAAAACAGTATTTTCCAGTAAAGTCCCAGCACCACAAAGCTCTCTGTTCTCTAAAAGGAATGGCAGAGGGGTGAACAAAGGGGATTCTGGACCCACAGAGGCCTGTGGTCCCAGGCTGGCAGCCTGACCTCTCCCAGCCTGGGTGTGACAGCCCAGCTTCAGGCTGCCAGCTCTGGAAGGTTGATGCTAAAACACCTGACACTTCCAGAAAGGAACTGGCAAAGCCAAGGGGATGATTTTCATTCTGCACTGAATTAAATCCTCCTTGACTATGGATAGCAGGTGTGGAAGAAGATCAGTCTCAAAGTACGTGCTGAACAGTAACCAGGCATATTTAGTCCTAAATCTGCGGAGTACAGGAGCTTGTGTCCCGCTGAGACCTGGCAGCTGGCAAACAATACACTATTTCTTAAACACTTGCTTATTTTCAGCCATTTAGTTGCTCATCTACCTGTGCAGTAACTGTGTTTCATTTTCAAACTGTCACCTGCAGGTTATTATGCCCGTGAGTGGAAAAGCTATTTAACACAACAGAGCCATCCAGTGACAAGGATGTTTTTTGATACAGCAGACAAGGAACCATTTTGCAGTAAGTGACTGAGATTTCCGAGATGATTTGTCTTTGTGCATTGTCTCCTTCAGCAGCAGCTGAACAGAGATGGTTTGGTCATAGCCAGCATTTTAGAAACAATGACAGTGGCTGCTGGGCAGAACTGTGTCCAGCTGCAGTTTGCCATGACACTCCTTACCTGCAAACCTGCCCAGTGCTGTGAAAGCCAACTTGCTCACAGTGCTAGGAAACCGGTTGAGAACTTGCAAATTAAATATAAAAGTTCCCAAACTATGTTTCAAAGCAACACCCGATTCTTTTGTGAAAGGAAGAGGTGTGTGGGAATGGTAAGAGACAAAGAGAGGCTGTGCAGGTGAAAAAGCTACCCCTGGAGAAAAGCAAGAGGCACAGGGAAAGGGGGAGAATCAAAGGAAAAAAGGGTGTCACCGAGGTTTCTCCTCATCCCTGTGATCACCAACGTAGCAAGGCATGGGCAGGGATTATGGCCTGAGCTCCAGAGCTGGTCAGTGAGTGAATTCAGACTTACAGATCAAAGAATAGAAAATTGTGCTCCATGACAGATGGTGAGAACAGAAATGGAGGGGTTCAGAGGGGGACAGGAGAAAGAAAAAGAAAGGCAATCTGGAAGTGAAGGGGGAAGGCAGGGTGTTAATGGGGGTGTGCTGAGAGTCATACAGAGAGGCCATCCTGCATGGATAACCCTTTCTGCAGTGCTTTCCTGACACCTCGATGTTTCTGTTAAAAAATCTCTGCCAAGGAGGATATAGAGCAGGGAGGAAAAAGGGATTTTAGAGATAAATTTGAAGGGGTTGTGTCCATCCTCCACCTGCAGCTCCACTCCCAGACAGGCACACAGTGGCTCGACAGCAGAGTGAGCCTGCCAGATCTAACCACACTTGTTCTCTCTCTCCCCTCAGTTTATCACTACTTTGTGGATATTATCACATGGAACAAAGACACCAGGAGAGGCACGCTCAGCATCGTGCTAGCTGATGAGACTGGGAAGAAGGCAGAATCCAAAGTTAATCCGTAAGTCTTACTGATCTGATAATGTGTAAATGTCAAAGAATCACTTGGTACAACTGCAGCTGAGAGGAAGCCAGACATCCTCCTCCATATCCCTGCTGATACCTGCCAGTGCACATGCCTATGGAATTTCCACAGCCTCCCCCAGCACACACCACCCGACAGCCCAGCGCTGTGATTTGGGCCCTTCTCATTCCTTTTAAGGACTGCAGTGGACAATTCCAGCCAGAGGCACAGCTGCCCCTTGGTAAAGCATCTCCCCCTCTCTCCTTCCCCTTCCAAGGAGTGTTCTGTTCCAGCTCCCAGGGCCCAAGACAGCTGGGATGAGCCTGGGCCTGAATATCTCACATCCAAATCAACTTGTTCTGTTCAGAGGGGCAAATTATTGGCTGTAACATGCATTTATGTAACATGCAAATTCCTGATTGATCTAAACACACTTCAGCCAAACAATCCTGCTCAACTAGTTTTCCCAAGTATCTCTTACTTCATATTCCCTCAGCCATATCTGGGATCTGCTTGCACTGGAGCAATCTGCATCGCTCCTGCACCAATAGCAGTGCAGATTTCACGCCTATCTCAAAGTGACTCAGTGTTCAGGTCTGCACAGCCCACCAGGTACAAAGAGCACTTGGGTTCAGTCCACTCAAGATCAATGCAGAATCACAGAGAGGATTCTGGTTTGGGACAAACAACATCAGACCTCTGTGTCCCTACTTCCACCCCAAACAACTGAGCGCCAAAGTGGCTGAGCAGGTTCACACCCGGAGGCCTGAATCCACACCCACTTTCTGTAAATCAGAAACTCATCCCTAGTTGTACCCTCTTCCCCCAGCTCTGCTTCTAATGTTACACTGAATACATTAAACCTGGTGCTATCCCCTGGGGACTCTCTGACACTCTGTCTGCTTTACCTTCAGAGAAGCTGCCACCTTCCAGCAGTACAACCAAATTACTTTGCTCATTGGATTCGACCAGGATCTTGAAAACGTACAGAAAATTTCTTTGACATTTTCTACAGGATCTGTCATTGGCCCAAAATTCAAACTCAGGATTCTCCAAATGAGGTTCCAGTCACTCACAAACCCAGAAAGGTGAGCAGAGCTCTACAAACAAACCATTTCTATTGTTGTGGACTGCAGAGAAGTAAATGAATCTCCCAGATTCCTGGCCTGGATGAGTTTGTGCAGAAGAATTAGATTTGATTTCACATTTAATAATTCTCATACATGTATATTGGGAATAGAATCCCACAGCTTGAACACGGAGGCTGTCTTACCGTATCGAAAACATGTCACTGGTGATGTGACTCTGACATGGTCTGACATCTTAACCTTTGGTCAGGAAAATGACCTTTGAGAAGCTGCCTGGGCCTGAACTCTGGGCTGAAGGGAAATGCCGCTCTCAGGGAAGCAGGGATGCCCAGCCCCAAACACACATTTTACATCCCAGTCAATTTCTACAGGTAGTCAAGCAGTGAGATTCATTTACTCCCAGAATTCCAGCAACTGGGAGCTGCTGGTCACTCTGCCCAAAGCCCTGACTGCTGCCCACCACACCATGACATAGGGTACCTCCTAGGTTGCTGCTGGTGATATTTCTGCAGCTGCTTCAGTCACCTCGTTAGCCTCTGTCTGCTCTGCAGTCCTACCCCTGAGCTTCCCAGATTCCTAGGGCACCTTCAGAGGATGGAATCTCTGCCTGAGCTCAGCAAGCACAGAATCTTGGAGGCTGACTTTGTGTGCAAGAACACTACGTGGACATCAAGCTCCACCATGCTTTAAATTTGGGTTAAAATAAGGGCTGCATATCACAGAGTGAGGAGGGTGAAGCAAAAATATTCAGGACTTTTAACACATCAAGTAATCAGTCACTGCCCGGGAAGGGATGCCTTGCCCTCACTCCTCCCCTCTTCAGGGCTAATGCTCATGTTTTCTCAGTGAAAGCTTAAGTATTTCCTCTGTTTCTCGTCTGGACGAGCTCCAGGCCAGATCAATGCCTGGTCCCAGCTCAGAGCAGCGGCAAAATTCCTCACGCTGGGAGCAGCAAAGCAGCAGGACCAGGCAGGTGAGCTGGAAGGACCACCTTTTTAGGTGGACGCAGAGGTGTGGATTGGTTTAACGAGAACCAGAGATCTGCAGGCAACGCCTGTTTGCTGGGGCTTTTTGCATTCTGTTTTTCTCACAAGCAAAAGATAATGTAGAACAGAAAAGAAAAATGCTCAAGGTATCCCTGGCCTTGCTAAGGCTTACAGCCAACCTCACTCACTTTAGGTGGACTCAGAGATAGTTCTCCCGAGAACACGAGTTATTTTACATATGCCCCCAGCACACGGCGAGACTCACTGGAGGATGACAGGAAAAAAGCGCCTTTTTTCACTTTTGGCCCGTGTTTTCACACAGACCCCAGTTGTGCCGATACGATTTCGTGCTGACGGAGAACACCCAGAGAACCTTCAAGCCCATCCCGTGCTGAAGCAGGACGGAGCTCCGAGGACGCCGTGTCTGGGCGGGGAGGGACATTTCACAGCCGTGCGGGGACTCACCTGGCGGTCCCGGGGCGCCTCCCGTGCGGACCGGGCAGCGGGACCCGCTCTCCACACAGGGCGTACAAAGGGGCTTTGGGAGTGACAATAAAACACGGCACTCGCGTGGGTTTAAAGCGCGTGTTTAAAGTGTATCCACGCTGAGCTAGCGGGGTCCCTCTGAACCCTCACATATCACCTCAGGGCCGGCCCCGCCCCCCATCCCCGCCCTCAGGAAGTCCCCGCCCTCAGGATGTCCCCGCCCCCGCCCCCCGGGCGGCCCCGCCCCGCGCCTGCGCGCCCCACTCGGGGGTCTGAGGGCCGGCAGGGCCGGGCCGGAGCGGCGGCCTGGATCCGGGATGTGGCGGCGCCCAGCCGGGCTCCTGCTCGTCTTCGCGGCCGCGACGGCCGCGCTGTGGCTGCTGTCGGTGCGGCTGAGCGCGGGGCAGACGCGCAGGTGGGTGCGAGGTGCCGGGGCTGCTCCTGTGTCCCTCTATCCCCCGCCCTTCCCCGGCACTGCCCGTGTCTCTCCCTCCTCAGGGCGCTGCGGTTCCCGGCGGACCTGGAGGAGCTGCGGGATCTGGCCGAGGCGTTGCGAGACTACGAGCGGCAGCACCGGGGCGCGGCGCTGGCGCTGTTCTGCGGCGCTTACCTGTACAAGCAGAGCTTCGCCATCCCCGGCTCCAGCCTCCTGGTACGGGCACGGGGGGCAAAGGGCGAGGCCGGCGAGCCACGGCTCGGTCAGGAGAGGCCAGAGGGACCGGCCCGGCCCTGCAGCCGGTGAGGAATAACCCCCAACCCAGGTTGGGGGCTGCCCTGCCGGAGAGCAGCTCTGCGGGGAAGGACCTGGGGAGTGTTGGTGGGTGACAAGCTGGCTTTGAGCCGGCAGCGTGCCCTGGGGGCCAGGAAGGGACAGTGGGATCCTGGGGGGCATCGGGAAGAGTGTAGCCGGCAGATTGGGGAGCTCATCCTGACCTTCTGCCCTAGCGAGCACTCCAGAGGGCACCTCTAGAGTGCTGTATCCTGTCTGGGCTCCTCAGGCCAAGAGAGACATGGAGCTACTAGAGAGGGTCTAGTGGAGGCCACAAAGATGATGAGGGATCTGGACCATCTCTCTTTTGAGTGGAAACTGCAGGAGCTGGGCCTGTTTAGTCTGGAGAAGACTGAGAGGGGATCTCAGTAATTCATATAAATATCTCCGAGGTGGGTACCAAGAGGACAGTGCCAGGTTCTTTTCAATGGTGCACAGTGACAGGACAAGGACCAGTGGCCATAAAATAAAACACAAGAAGTTCCACTTTAACATGAAGCAGGAGGGTAGCAGAGCACTGGAACAGCTGCCCAGGGAGGGCACAGAGTCTCCCCCTCTGGACACATTCCAAACCCACTTGGACACATTCCTGTGTCACCTGCTCCAGGTGACCCTGCCTAGGCAGAGGGGGTTGGACTGGATGATCTCCAGAGGTCCCTTCCAACGCTGACTATTCTGTGACACAGTGTCCCCTGGGCCCTGTTGTTCCCACAGAATGTCCTGGCTGGAGCTCTCTTCGGGCCATGGACAGGGCTGGTGCTGTGCTCGGTCCTCACGTCGGTGGGAGCCACCCTGTGCTACCTGCTCTCTGCTGCCTTCGGCAAGCAGCTCGTCGTCCACTACTTCCCTGAGAAAGTGGCTCTGCTGCAAGGGAAGGTAAGAACTGGTGCTTCTGCAGACACCCAGGATGTCCCTGGGTCAGGCTGCTTTTGGGATGGCTTAGTAAAAACGAATGTGTGCAGGGGATGCATCAGGTCTGCTGAGGGCACCGGCTGCTCTCTTGAGGCAAACCTGTTTGCAGAGGGGCTGTGGGGAAAATCCCAGATCCCAAAGAAAATCTGAAGTAAGACAAAGGATTGATTGCGAGTCCCTGTTCTCCAGAACTGCCTCTACCCATCCTGTGCTGAGTTGTACAGCTGGAGGGGATTCTGTTATTGCCTTCCTGATCTCTCAGGTGAGATCCCATTTCCATCACTTCCTTGGAAAGGGCTGGCTCACCCCTACACTCCCACACACACATAACACTGCTGCTTTTCATCAGCTCTGGACTGATGTGGCAGAAGTATCGTAGCCTTTCCAGTGTTACTGCTGTCTGAGGAGCAGAAATGATGTGGAATGTATCTCTTGGCAGGTAGAAGAGAACAGGAGCTGCTTATTTTTCTTTTTGTTGTTCCTGAGGCTGTTCCCCATGACGCCAAACTGGTTTCTGAACCTCTCGGCTCCCATTTTAAACATCCCTGTGTCCCAGTTCTTCTTGTCCGTGCTCATTGGTAAGGCCTGGGGACACAGTCTGAGGGGACAGTGTGACACTGCTGCTCGTCATCGCTGAGCCCAGGGAAGGCAGAGCAGCAGGACTCTGCCCCATTTAACCATTTGCCTCTGTGCTGCCCTGAGGTCTCAGAGCATTTTGCAAATATGTGTGTCCCCAAATGCTGCAAATCTTCATTTACACCCTATTCATTCTAAGCACAGACCCTTGTGTCTGTGTAACGGCCATAAACTAAACCACAGTGAGTTCCACCCAACATGAGAAAGAACTTCTTTCTACGGACGGTGGCAGAGCACTGGAATAGGGTGCTCAGGCAGGGTGTGGAGTCTCCCTCTCTGGAGACATTCCAAACCCACCTGGATGTCTTCCTGTGTCACATGCTTGAGGTGACCCTGCCTTGGCAGGGGAGGGGGGAGGGAGGGGGTGGACTAGATGATCTCCAGAAGTCCCTTCCAATCCCAACTATTCTGTGATTTTGTGTGTGGCCTTGGACATATTTGAGCTAATTTTCCTGGGGGGGGATACTAATAGCTTTTTTCTGCTCTGATTGTTTCAGGCCTTACACCATATAATTTCATCTGTGTGCAGACAGGGGCCATTCTGTCCCAGATCACCTCTCTGGATGCCATTTTCTCCTGGGACACGCTTCTCAAACTGCTGGCAATGGCCATGGTAGCGCTGATACCAGGGACCCTCATCAAGAGATACAGCAAGAAGCACCTGAAGCTGGATGGGGACAAGCAGACTCAGACACTCAACGGCAAAAAGAAGTTGTGATGGTTCAGGTGCCCCAGTGCTGGGGTAAAAGCTAGGGGTCTCTGCAGGGCTTATATTCTGCATGCTCTGTGCCTCCAAGGACAGTGGCAGTTTTTAATTGTCCTCCTCATCTCAGAGGAGTTGTAAGATTCTTATTTTTAATGAATGTTTACCTGTGCATGTATCTGCACGGAGAGAGCGATACAGGGGCTTTGTGAACAGTTGGTTAATGTGCCTGTTTCGTTTAAATCATCCCCTGTGTGCCTGAGGGGGTGCCCAGCCCACTGCCATGGGGACAAAAGGAGTGCTGGCATTCTGTGAGGAAGGCAAACCAGAACCCCTTAACCCTGCCCAGCATGGAGGCCAAACACTGCCCTGGAGGCAGGCCCTGCTCCCTCCAACCCCAGACTAATTTAGTATTTTTTGCCTAAAATGACAGATGGTGCTGTTGGGTGCAGTAGCACAAGCCCCAAGGTGATAAAATAATGATGTTTCAAGGTGCAGCTGTTGAAGACTATTCTTTGATTCCAGTGTTAAACCAGCACACCCTGCAACAAAATGCTCAGGATTTGGGCTGCCTGTGTGTACCAGTCGTGTCAGAACACACAAGATTGCTTCCCCAGTCTGTCAGTGGCTGCTGCTCTCCATAAAGACTAAAGGGAAGAACAACAAGAGTGGGTGTGTCTGGCTGACAGGGATTTGTCCTTGAGAAGCACTTTGAAACCTACATATTTGCTCCTGTATAACTAGAAGGTTTCCAAATAAACAAGTGGGTTCTTGTCCCAGTTGCTGGAGAACATAGAATGCAGGATGGTTTGGGGTAGAGGGGATCTTAAAGATTATCTCATTCTACCCCCCTGCTAAGGGCAGGGACACCTTCCACTAGCCCAGGTTGCTCCAAGCCCCATCCAACCTGGCCTCTGGCACTTCCAGGGGTGGGGCAGCCACAACTTCTCTGGGCAACGTGTGCCAGGCCCTCATCCCCCAGGGATTATACTCTGGTCTTGGGGTTTTGGTATTTGCATCTCCTTGTGCTGCTCTCCCTGAGTTTGCCCTCCTCTTGGAGGATAAAGTAACCTTCCTGCTGTGGAAGGGGGCAGATGGGAGACCCCAGACGTTATCCCAAAGTCCATAAGAACACGTTCCCAGATCACCAGACCAGCCCGCAGCATTGAAGTACACTGGCTTTTTATTCCATGCATTGTTTGCTTTGATAGTCATTCTTGTTTCCATCACTGTACACTGGTCAATACAAAAAAAATCAAGTTTGTCTCAGGAATCCACAGAGCAGGGAGGAGGGGATGAACACTACTGGACAGGGCCAAGATGAAATGGGTACTTAACACGACAGTGGGGAGGGCAACATTCAGCTCTGGGAGAAAATCTAGGCTAGTGTTCAGGAGCTGTCAGCAGCCATGAGAACTGGATCAGGGAACTTGGGGTGCTGGAAAGGGAACCCACGGGTTACTCCTGCCCTGCAAGCGCGGTGTTACTACGAGGAGGAAGCAGGTCCACTACACCTCCCAGACCCTGCTGGGAGAGAAAGTGTGAGGAGCCGCAGCACAGGCGCCCGTACAGTGACGTGGAGGTCACATCTGTGCCATTCCAGGGAGGTTCCATTAAGGAAATCCCACCTAATGCCCTGCAGAACAGACAGTGACCATCCCGGGAACGTGGGCGGTGCTGAGACAGCCCTGCCGCGCACAGCTGAGCACACGAGATGCGTGTGCAGGGGGAGGCTGGAGTGGCACCTCCACGGACTCAGGTGAGGGGGGCTGCCCTAGTGCCATTTCCAGAGGGATGCTGTGTTGGAGGCAGCAGGTAAGGAGTGACACTGGACCATAACAATGCAATAACTCAGGCCTGTGAGGAAACTGGAGCTAAATGTGGCAGCCTGGAGGGTTCAGCTCTGCTTGTCCAGGCTGCAGAAGAGGCCAGCACATCCCCAGGAAACGACGGGGAGGGATCAGCACACACCCAGGACAGCAGGCCCAGAAGGGTCCCAAAATCCCACATCCCAAAGCTTCTCTGTGAGCCCAGAGGAACTTCATCCCATGGTGGAACCTAAGCAGAGACCACAGGTAGCCAAAACAC